TTTCTCTAAGCCAAAAATTCCGTGCAGCGGTTCTTTCTTTTGCCTTCCTGGCTTTCCTTACACTTATGGTGTTCTGGCAAGTGCCTTTTCTCCCTGTGCATTCAAGTGGCTTCACCTTGTTGTCTTGTGGAAGGGTTCAAATCCCAAACAACAACCTTTCGCTTTCAAGTTGTGCAACGCTTGTTTCTGTGAAGTTTCCAATTGTTCAACCTTGCGTTTCATCTTGTGAAATTTACTTGGTTTAGCATTCGGTGATATATCTTCACCTGTGTTGCTTTTTACATCTCCAGTGGTGGGTTGGAGGGTCGCCATTTTAGTTTTGTGGCTTCTCGTTGCATGGGTGCCCATGCGCGTGGCGTGACGGCAGCATCCCAGCGCATTTGTCTGGGCCTGCCACTTCAGCGGTATCATTGGAGGACTGCATTTTCGCAAACCCTATTTGTGGCAGGGTCCAATCCGTGATTTTTGCTTACTTGTCACGTCCTGAAGCCCAGAAAGTCCTGATCAGCTGCATTTTGTTATTATCTGACCAGAAGGATATTCTTCTTTCCCGAACTGAAATACAACTCGATCTGTGCTTGTCCAGCTACAGTGTTCCTACACCTCCGCTTCAGCCATTCCTTTTGCCTGTTGTTCACGGTCAAGGGGGGGTTTGGGATCTGGACACAGTGTCATCAAGTTCAAGTCAGTCTTCATACCAAGATGCCGTGGAGGAAGAAGACATTGACGCCTTACAGGTCGGTTGACTCACTCAGTTTGGATGGCTCTGCAGAGCACTCTTCAGATGCTGTGGCGAGCTCGGCAGTGGACACTCATGACCTTTTTGGGGGGCCAGATGTCAATTTTGATTCAGATGCCAGGCAGCCTTTCTTTGATAGATCTGTGGACTCAGGGACGCATGGCATGACAGGCTTTGACAGTTCCAGCACAGAGGCTCCCCTTTCAAAGGTGCAGTTTGACCGTTTCCTGGGACACGCATTTCTCAGCGTTGCACAGGCTGACAATGTTAGAATGCCTTGGGAGAAAGGAATTTTCAGACAGATTTTTGGTGATGAGCCATTACAGCCGTCATTTGACATGTCATGGATTCCTTGTGCACAGGTACCCGAAGATGTGCCCGAGGCCACTGTGCTTGAGTTGGCATCTGCGGCTAGCCGACCACCTGCAGCTGAGAGCCCGGTATATGTTCATGCAATTGCCTGCATTTCTGACCATGATCATGATTCACAACAATCCAAGTTGAAGCAGAGTGCATGCAACAAGTGGCTTTCAATTTTGGTTCTTTGCTTGACGTCCAGTGATGTTGGCAGACACATTGATGCTCTTGGGCCATTAGATGAACACCGTCGTGAAGCTTTTGACATTTTGGAAGCGGTGATTGGTGTCAGATCTTATCACACGGCAGTTTGCAGGGCCAATTCAATTTTGAAGTTTTTGAGGGAGACCTTGGAGAGTTTTCCCGACACAACAATGCCGTTTACAGAAGATTTGGTGTGGCAGCATTTTCAACGCTTGAGGAGTTCTGGAGGCGCTACCTCAGCGGCTTCGGTTTTGTCCGCCTTCAGGTATGCCAAGTTTGTCATGGGCTTTGAATGCATTGAGGCGATTTTGAACAGCAAGCGGCTCAGAGGACTCAGTGACATTCTTTTCTCAGGCAAGAGGAAATTGCTGCAGGCAAAAACTTTGACAGTGCAACAGGTCAAGATGTTGCATTCTGTTTTGGAAAGTGTGGGTGCAGACAAGTTTGATAGGGCTGTAGCCGGTTTCCTTTTGACGGCGCTCTACGGCAGATGCAGGGTTTCTGATTTGATTTTCCTGGATTCCATCAGACATGACCATGGCGATGATGATGGATTTTTGGAGCTGTTTACAGCTGTGCACAAGACAGGCCGTAGTGCTGCAAAGAAAGCAACGTTGCTGCCAATCCTTTGTCCAGCCATCGGAGTGACAGGTTCGAACTGGATCATCCATGCGTCAAAAGCATTTGAGCAAATTGGACTGAAGTTTGATGGTGTCATTCAGGGGCCGTTGCTGCGGCCTCCCAGCCATGAAGGCCCCTATCTCTGTGGCAGAAGTGTGAATGCCACAGAGGTGGGTAGGCTTTTGAGGGGGCTGATTGGTTTAGAAATTGCAGTCGCAGACAGTGGCAGCCAGCACGTGAGTGCGCATTCCTTGAAGGCGACGGGCCTGGCATGGTCAGCCAGGTTTGGCCTATCCTGGCCTGATCGTGCAATCTTGGGCAGGCACCAATCCCACACGAATGAGACAGTAGCCATCTATTCAAGAGATTTGGCTGTGGGGCCGGTGACAAAGTTTGCCGAGATGATCAAATCGATTTACCTTGGAGTGTTTTGCCCTGACGCTGAGCGAAGCCAGTATTTTCCTTTCCCTCCGGAACCACCTGCAGTCCCCTCGAACAAGGAGGCACAAGATGCTCAATTGGTTGAGCCTGACGCTGCGGAGGTGGTGCAAGACTTTTGCAAACAGGAGCCGGGCATGGTGCTGGCTGGACCGCAGCAGGTGGTCGACCTCATCTCTGAAAGCGATTCAACCGAGAGTGAGAGCGGTGAATCTTGCATCGCGTCGGAGGAAAGTTCTGATGGCCAGCCGTTGACAAAACGCACCAAGTTCAGAGCGGCCGACAGACCCAACAGAGACTCGATGTGGTTTGCCCACAGAAAGTCTGGCATCTTGCACTTGTGCTGGAACGAGCCGTCAGGGGGTGACGCTGACAGGAAGATGTCTGCATGTGGCAGAACCATAACGTCCAACTATGTGGCCATGGACGAAACCACGGATGGAAATCCGCTTTGTGTCATTTGCCAGAAGCGCCAGGACTAAAAAGGAATTGAGCTGCAAGGCTGCTCAGATTCAAGATGGTTTGCAGTGCATTCCAAATCTTGTCTTGGTTTTTCCGTTATCTATGAACTTTTGAGTTGAAGGTTCACCACAAAATGAAAGGCAGGGCCTTTTGGAAAGATTCATGTGGTGTTTGCGTTTTTCATTATCTCAATGCAAGTTTGGCATAACAAGTGTGGTCTTGTTGGGGCCAAGATTGCATTCTGTCAGTGACAGTTTATGGACGTGTTGACAAGGTCAGCAGGATTCAAAGATTTGTCATGACCGGCAGGGCCGAGTGGCATTTTTTTATGTTGTATCTCCCGGCTTTTTCAGCCTCAAAAAAAAAACTTTTCAGGTAGTGGCGACTGCATGAATCAATTTTCATGACTTGTTGAACCGGATTTCACTCATGTTTGTTGTGGTTCTTTTCTTCACGCACACCTTCCTGTGGAACATGGCTTCGTTACTGGACTCAGAGGCACAGTTCAGGCAGAGAGCAAAGGAGTGCAAGCTATCAGATGTAGCACTGCAGGATCTTTCCCGTTTAGGAGTGACTTCTTTTGGACTTCTTGCTTACAGTTTTGGCCAGCCTGGGCAAAACATTGCAGATGAGGCATTCAACAATTGGGTGAGGCAAGATGTTAACCCTGGGATCACCTTAGCAGATAGCTCAGCGTTGAAAAGGTTGCTCTTCGAATCTCACACATTAGTGATGGCGTCATTGAAAGAACAGGTTGTGGCACCGGACTCAATTGCAACAAAGAAAGTGCCGCCAACGGAGCGTGATTCAAAAATGCAGCATGTCCGTAACACTCATGCTGGACTGCTCATTGAAGGACCACTTGACCCTGGACATTCCCTGCTTGATGCATGTGCCCAAATGCACTCCACAAATGAAATCAAGTACTTGGCTCCTGAGCGTTGTGTGAGTCGTTTTCATGAAATCACACACCAGAAGACCCCTGCAAAACAAGTTGAGATTGAATCGGACAGGCTCATTGTCCGAGAAAAAAGTGAAGTGCCAGACGAAGCAGCGCACTCAGCGCTCCAGGTCAAAGAGGCCTTGGAACGCGCAATACTTGAGTTGAAAACTCATGATGAATTATGACAACAAAGTTGAAACCGTTTGAAAGTTGCTTGACAACTTTCTTGCAAACCAAAACACTTTTATTTGTTTCGACAAATATGTTAAAAAAAGAATCTGATGAAGTGAACCGAATGTTTCAAGCGAAGTGCTTGGCTTTCATTCGTTTCTTTAATGCATGTTTTGTTTTGGTTTCATATGTGAAACTTCGTTTGTTAAGTTCAAGGTTTCAGGTCGTTTCTCCAAACGTTGTTTGCAATAGAAACACAAACCAAATTGATGAAGTTCAATCAATGTCACGTTCGGAATTTTACAAGTCAAGGGCGGGTGCGGAGGGATTCAAATCCTTTTTCCAATTTTTGTAGAGCGTTTGATGCGCAACAGATCTGCCATCCATAAGGGTCACATTGCATTCACTTCGCCGCTGTGTTTGGGACGCCAGCCAGTCCAGACCTTTGGGACGACAACGGTGGCGATCACTGGAGTTTTGAGCGGACTCATTTTGGCTTTTGCGATTTTCATTGCCTGGGTCTTCTCTATTGATGCCTAGATTAGTTTTGCTGTGTGACCTGGAACGCTTTACAAACGGCTATCGTATTTCTGGACCTTTTGTCTCTGAACTTTGGCTCTCATTTGAAATTTCCACCACACTGATTGCATTTTTGGACACCTTTTCACAAGCGCGTTTGCACCTCAGTTGTGTGGTCCTGCAGGTGGACAGGACGGAAATTGGTTTGGGAGCCACTGAAAAGAGATTACATATCAATTTAGAGAGTTGGGGTGTTCCAACTCCGCCAGTACAACCTTGTTTATCCCCGGTTCAGACAGTCGGGACTTCGTCTTGGAGTTCCAGCAGTTTCGATGGCCACTCCGATTGAGCACACAGTGGAAAAAGGGGAGAAGAGAAGTTGTTCAGCTCTTTTTGAGCATATCCAATTTTGTGAGCGATCTATGAAGAGGTCTGCATTGAAATATCCTTGGCAGCTTGGTTTCATGGCAGATCAGGACCAGTCAGCATATCCGAAAGGACCACTGGGTATGGCCCCAGTTTTGCCTGCTGCTGTTTCCAGTTCAGATGTTGCAGAAGCAGTTTCATGAAGAGCTGGCGAGTGCATTTGACGATCATTGCAGGAGACTTTACTGCAAGCTGCCTCAGGTGGAATGGGATGTCCATCTTGATTCACAACGCAGTGCTGCCATGGCCAAGTGGCATAAAATTGTGTTGGCTGACCCGATGTCTTTTGATGTTTGCAGGATGCATTTTCAACCGTTGAAAACGGGACTTCAAGGAGGCAAGCTTCAGGATGACCTGAGAAATGTGTTCTCAAGCAAGAGCACTTCCACACTTCATGGCAGGGCTGGTCCTATGATGCGATTTTTGCATTTTTGTGCAGATATCACAGAAGAGGTTGTGTATGCCTTCATGCAACATGTGGAACAGTCTGCAGCGCCGACCTTTTTGAGGAGTTTCCTCAGCTCCTTGGGGTTTGCGTTGCACGTGGTCGGTTTGATAGGTGCCAAAAGAGTCTTGGATTCCCGGCGCATCAAGGGCTTGGCCGACAAGTGCTACCTGCAGAAGAAGAAGACGAGATCCAGGCTGCCGCTGACTGTAGAAGAACTGACAACGTTGGAAGAGATTGTTCTTGGCTATCGAGGTCGTGGTCTTCCAGACAGGCATGCGGCTGGATGTTTTCTTTTCATGGTGTACGGACGTACAAGATTTTCAGACATGCTCAATGTTGGGCGTTTGGATTTCGAAGCTGGTGATGACGAAACTGGGTACATAGAAGCCCAGGTTGCCAGATCCAAAACCTCCTTTTCAGTTGACAGAAAGGTTCGTTTACTCCCGATGACAGCAGCCATGCATGGCGTCACAACTGAATCCTGGGGCAAGGCTTGGGAGACGGTTTTGGAGAAGACCGGCATCACGGCTACACATGGTAAGCCACTGCTCCCAGGGAGGACTCCTGATGGTTGGCACACTTTGCCACTTACGGCAGAGGCGGCGACGAGCTGGCTTCGAAGCATGTTGCAGTCTGGGGAGCACTTCCAGGAGGACAGAATCAAGTCCATTGGGACGCACTCGTGCAAGTCGACAATTTTGTCGTGGATGGCAAAGTGGGGTTCCTCGCCTGACCTCAGAAGGCTTATGGGGTACCACGTTGCTGATAAGATGTCCACGATGCTCATCTATGGCAAGGACAACACCAGTGCTGGGCTTCGTGAAATCGATGTGATTCTTGAAGCAATCAGACAAGGTGAATTTCTTCCCGATGCAAAGCGATCCGAGATGTTTCCTCATGCGGAGGACGCTGCAAAGCTTCTGGAAAGCCAAGACCAAAGCGGTTTTGAAGGCTACTGTTCTGGAAGTTCCTCAGAGGACTCAGCTGATGAGGACCAACCTGATCACCTGGCTCATGAAAAAGCAGAGAATGCGGTCCTCGGCAAGTGGGATGCCGGTGTGGACGTCAACAAGCTGCCCGATCAGGCGGTTTACTTCAGGCACCCGTTGTCAAGGACAATCCACGTCCAAGAGGCCGAATCAGGCATCAGGTTTACTTGTGGCAGAGACATCTCAAAGAGTTACATATCACTTGAGTCACGACCTCAGTCGCTTTTGCCGATTTGCAAACAATGCTTTGCCAGATTCAGAAAGGCACATGTATGATTGCAGACATTGATGTTTGCGTGAAAGATGAAAATGATTTGCAGCGATTGTTTGCGTGAATTTTTGCAGAAGGGAATTATTTCGGCAAGGCTCTGACCTGAGACTGATCATTGTTTGCACTGAATTTTATCGAGTGAGAGTGTCCATTTCACGATTCAAGTTGCAATTTCTTTTCAAACGTTTGCACATGCCAGTCATGTTCATGTCAAACATCAACATATCAGATTGGGCAATTTAACCAGCTGAGTGCCTGGAAGGGTTTTTCTTGAACGGACAGTGTCGGCTCCAAGCGTCACACTCAGAAAGCTTGTGGGAACGTTTGCAAGATGTCCAATTGCGTGAGTCAGCCCGGTTTTCAAAGATGTTGAAGTTTATTTCGAGAGATACAAGTTTTTCATGTCATTTCATGCATGTCTTTAAACATCAAGTTTGAAAGAACCTCGCCCTGTCCGTTTCCATGTCATTTGCTGACAGCTTGCCAGTTTTCAGAGACAGGGCAGCAGCAGCAGGATTGAGTGAAGAGATTCGTGCAAGTTTGGATGGCGCTGGACTCAACACTCTTTCAAAGTTTGCATTTGCAAGTTCATACGTGCCTGGTGCCGGAGATGATGCAGAGTTTGTGAAGACTGTGAAAACAGTCCTTGGCAGGGACCCTACGCTGGGAGAACTGGCATCATTTCGAAAGCTTTTGCATGAATCCTATTTACTTGTCACACAAGAAATGAAACAACAACTGGAAAGGAGTGAAGATGTCCAGACACGCAAGTTGACACAGCCAGAGCGTGCGGACCTTTATGAAAGGCAGGTCAAGCGCATCACAGGCTTGACATTGCGTGGACCTCTGGAACCAAGTGATGGACTTGTTGATTTGTTTTGTGCGATGTACGAAGCAAACAGGCTTCGATTTGTGCCTTGGGAAAAGTATACAGCAAAAGAAGCAGAGATTGACAAAGAAGTTCGCACAGAACATTTGTTTGCAGTGGATTCCAGTGGCAAGCTTAAAGTTGAAGGGAAAAAGCCAGACCCCGTAGCAGACACCTCAACCGAGATTTTGCTTCAGTACGCACTCCAGCGTAGGGGCTTGAGCATGGACCAAGCTAATTTGTTGGAGTTCAAGACCCACCAATTATGGGTTGACCGTGTGCTCAAAGTAAGATTGCAAGCACCTCCTGCAGGTTACACAAGGACTTCGTTTCGCCAGGTGCTCGAAGCCGACAAAAAGCTCTTTGAAGAGCTCGCCAACGCCACAAGGCACGGTGTTCAGGCCACAGTCAGCGGTAGGCCGCTAGACCTTGTCTTCGAAGATTGTATGAACAAACCAGAGGTGGTTCATTTGCTCCAACCGTTGATGGGTAAGAGTACGGAATACAAGAGCGAAGAGAAGCCTGCCCCAAACAGGCCTAGTCCATATAGGCCGCAAAACCCTGGAAAAAGCAAAGGCAAAGGCAAGACGCAGGGAAAGAACAAGGGATCTCCAAAGATGCCTTTGGTGCTTCTCAATGGAGGCTGCAGAGCCACCACAAATGCAGGAGATGCAATCTGTTACGGTTTCAACTTGGGGACATGTACAAACAAGGTCAATGCTGGACGTTGTGATAGAGGATACCATGTATGTGCATTGCCAAAGTGTGGCAAACACCATGCCTATGTCAATTGCCCCACGAAGTCATCGGGCTCTTGACTACAAGACCAAGAGTGCAAGGAAAGTCATGAAGGTGAGCTGCAAACCGCAGAATCACCTACAAGTTCAAGTCACGAAGGTGACGTACCAACTTCAATTCCCGAAGTGGCAATTGGAGAAAAACCGGAGAGGTGCTTGAAAGAACCTTTTCTTTTCATTGAAGCTTGTTGTGGCAGTGCATTACTAAGTTCGTGTGTTGCCAGGTCCGGCTTCGATGTGTTAGCAATTGATTTTCATGGCAACAAGCATTGACCTTTTGTGCATGTTGTGGAATTAGATTTGCGAAAACGATCTACATGGAGTTTCCTAGAGCATCTGGCACGGTCTCGACGACCTTTTCACTTTCATGCCGCTCCACCATGCGGCACAGCTTCGAGAGCGAGAGATGTCCCTCTTGCGGACGATCAACATGGGCCCCCACCACTGCGTTCAGAAGAGTACCCCATGGGATTTCCGTGGCTAACTGGTTTTTGGAAAGACAAAGTCGAATCTGCAAATTCGATTTATATCCACCTTGCGGCCTTCTGTTTCTGGTTGAATTTTCTTCAGATTGGGTGGAGCATTGAGAACCCTGGACGCAGCTACCTTTGGAGCATTGAGGATTACAAAATGTTGATAGCGGCGGCTATTTTTATACTCTTTCACTCATGCATTCATGGTAGCGAACGGAAAAAGCTTACTGCACTGCTCACCAATCGAGCGCAATTCAGAGTGCTCGCTGGCTACTGTCAAGGAGATCACGAACACTTGCCGTGGTCTCACAAGAATGACAATGGACATGTTGTATTTGACACTAGCAAAGAGGCTGCGTATCCGAAGATCTTTTGTGAGCGTTTTGCAAATGTGTTAGCAGACATGGCTGGTATTGCTGACCTGCAGGTTACTGACGGCCTGTATGACAAGACGGCTCTACTGGATGCAAGGGTTGCTACACACAAACAACCACGGGGCAGAAAAATTGCCCCTCTTGTGCCTGAGTATGCCCAAGTGAAGACGGTTCGAACCCTTTCTCAGGATGAACCACTGCTTTCAGACAAGCGGACTCTGCTCGAACCATTTGCAGGCGTTCCAGCAGGCAGTAAACTTCTACGATGTGCTAAAGCGAAAAGGGGGAATGCTGGAGATGAAGACCAATTTGTCATACGAGTTTTTGGCATATACAGGACAATGCAGGACTTTTTCAAATTGGCAACGAATGTCATCCACCCCTTTGATTCGTTCAGGGCTGTACCTGATTCACTGCTGAAAGTGGTTTGCAGGATCCTCAGCAGATCGCCCCTCGAAACTATGAAGTTGCGTCTTGAGATAATTAAGACGTGGAGGGGCCTAGCAGATTCACTGGCAGAAGCAAATCACCAAATTTTCTCCAACACGGACTCTGGTTGCGCCCTGGTTTTAAAGGGCAAACACTTGGCTCTGCTGGAGAAGCTTGCGACTGACTTCGACTGGCCGGACAAGAGCATACACCAAGAAATCAGGCAAGGCTTCAAACTCATAGGGTTGCAAGAACCATCAGGTGTTTTTACTGCTGATATAAAACCGAGGTCTCTTACAGAAGAGGAACTCGTCAAGCAACTGAAATTTCTGAAACCGGCACTTTGGGGCAAGGTCCAAGCTTCCCCAAAAATGGACTACGAAGAAGAGTTGTGGGAAGCAACCATGCAAGAGATGAAACAAAAACACTGGTTGGATGGTCCCTACTCCAAATGCGAATTGGATGTGCTGTTTGAGGACAATTGGTTGCCGGTACGCCGGTTTGCAGTGTGGCAGCGTTCGAAGTGGAGGGCCATTGACGATTTCTCAGAGTGTGGTGTCAATTCAACCTTCTCTTACCTGGAAAAAGTGGATTTGAAGGCATTGGATGAGATTGTGTGGATGGCCTGCTGCTTCGTCAGGTACTGTGTGTTTGAGAATCGTTTTGACTTCACGCTGGCCTCTGGCGAAAAACTGTGTGGGAGCGTTGACCCCGAATGGAAGCAGATGCCGGAAGGTGCAATCCAGTTGGTTGCAAAAACTGTGGACTTGAAATCTGCATACAAACAATTTCCCATATGTCCCGAACACCGCAGGTATTCAACTCTAATCCTCAAGAAGCCGAGCAACGGGACGGTGATGGGATTCGTTTCAAAAACACTTCCATTTGGAAGTGTGGCATCTGTTTTACATTTCAACAGGATCTCAAGACTCCTACATATGTTGGGATTGCAACTGGACGTAGCGTGGACAAATTATTATGACGATTTTCCTGTGGTAGATTTCAAAGTTCTTGCAGATCATTCGTCGGCCGCAATCAGGGCGTTGACGTCGATGCTTGGGTTCGAGTGTTCGCTGGACAAGGAACTTCCTTTTGCGGAAACTGCAGAAATGCTTGGAGTCATGCTCGACCTGCAGCATGCCAGTACTGGGACAATCAAGGTTGCGAACAAACCCAGCAGGATGGACGAGTTGAAATCCACCGTGCAACATATCATCGCTTCTGGCAGGGTTGTCACGAAAGACTTGCCATCACTTTTTGGGAGAGCTTTGTTTGTGGAAAGTCAGTTTATGGGAAGAGAAGGACGGCTGGCTTTGTCTGAACTGAGAGTCATGGAGCGGAGTAAGTTGCAAAGTGTTGTGCTCTCAGATGCACAAATGGATGCTCTAAAGAACTTGCTTTTGAGGTACCAGAAAGCGGAGCCGAGGTCCTTAAAGGTTGAAAGCGCTTCCATGCCTTTAATTTTGTTTACAGATGGTGCGTGTGAACCTTCTGGCGATGACATTTCATGCACTGTAGGCGGAGTTTTGTTTGACCCAAGAGATGGAGGCCGTGTTGAAGCTTTTGGGGCGCACGTTAGTTCCGAAGTTACAAAGTCGTGGAAGAGAGCTGGAAAGAAACACCCGGTTGCTTTGACTGAGTTGTACGCAGTATGTGTGGCACGACATATATGGAAAGACCGCCTTGACAACTGCAAATGCGTGTGCTTCATTGATAACCAAGGCGATGTTGACGCGCTTATCAAGGGATACAGTTCGGAAGATACAATGAAGTCTCTTCTGATCTTGCTTGAAAGGCTGGACTGCGGCAAGCCGTTTTTGCCTTGGTTCTGCAGGGTCCCTTCTCAGTCAAACATCTCGGATCTTCCTTCCAGAGGCAAGTGGAAAGAGTTGCGCGAGATTTTGCCAGACTATGTTTTTGTAGAAGCAACTTGCCCGTTTGACTCCAAGAAACTCCATACCGTTTTGCAAGACTAAAAGCATGGCTGAAGGAAATGGGGAAAAACCAAGTCGTAGTTTGTGAAGCAAACTTCAAAGTTCAGAAGCGGAGTGCTTGAAAGGCAACTTGTGCCTTGAAAAAGCAAAGTGCTTTTCTTTTCGATCGAGGGATTGAAAAGACTCAGAAAGTTGTGCAAAAAGTTTCCAACGAGAAAACTTTCAGAAGACCAGTTGAACATCCCCAATCGTTCAGCCGTGCGCTGGGAAAAACATCGACCGAGTTTGATTTGTTGCACCTCAGCTGTGAATATATATATATATGTTTATTATATTCACTGTATATATGTTGTTTTATTCTTACCGTGGCGATAGCCTCATCTACGTTTTAGATTTGTAGTCGCGTGTTTGAAACAACGGTTTATAGCGACTCCTTTTCACGCGTGTTTTGGTTTGTTCTCAACTTTATGGCATAAGCAATACTTGAGTTGAAAACTCATGATGAATTATGACAACAAAGTTGAAACCGTTTGAAAGTTGCTTGACAACTTTCTTGCAAACCAAAACACTTTTATTTGTTTCGACAAATATGTTAAAAAAAGAATCTGATGAAGTGAACCGAATGTTTCAAGCGAAGTGCTTGGCTTTCATTCGTTTCTTTAATGCATGTTTTGTTTTGGTTTCATATGTGAAACTTCGTTTGTTAAGTTCAAGGTTTCAGGTCGTTTCTCCAAACGTTGTTTGCAATAGAAACACAAACCAAATTGATGAAGTTCAATCAATGTCACGTTCGGAATTTTACAAGTCAAGGGCGGGTGCGGAGGGATTCAAATCCTTTTTCCAATTTTTGTCCCTCCCACCCAAAACCCAAAAATTTCCAAAAGGGAGGGGAAAACCAAGTCGTAGTTTGTGAAGCAAACTTCAAAGTTCAGAAGCGGAGTGCTTGAAAGGCAACTTGTGCCTTGAAAAAGCAAAGTGCTTTTCTTTTCGATCGAGGGATTGAAAAGACTCAGAAAGTTGTGCAAAAAGTTTCCAACGAGAAAACTTTCAGAAGACCAGTTGAACATCCCCAATCGTTCAGCCGTGCGCTGGGAAAAACATCGACCGAGTTTGATTCGTTGCACCTCAGCTGTGAATATATATATATATATATATATGTTTATTATATTCACTGTATATATGTTGTTTTATTCTTACCGTGGCGATAGCCTCATCTACGTTTTAGATTTGTAGTCGCGTGTTTGAAACAACGGTTTATAGCGACTCCTTTTCGCGCGTGTTTTGGTTTGTTCTCAACTTTATGTCATAAAGGGGTGTGGGGCTGGTCTTTGCAGACCTGGTCACTTTTACCATCTACAGCAAATACCTTTCAGCTTTGTTTGCACATATGCATCGGGATCCACATCAAGGTTACGCCAGGACATCTGTCTCTCAGATTGTTGCGGCAGACAAAGCCGTGTGGGCCAAATTGATGGAGAGGAAGGGGTGAACCCCCGCCGTGATGCATCAGGTGCCTTGCCCTTAGATTCATCCCTCATGAAAGCATTGGAGTCTTACGCAGTTTCCTTTACGTTATTGCCATTGCCTCAGCAGAAGAAGCCTTCTCCAGCAACACCAGCACCGAAGCCGAAGGCTGCGGTCAAGACCACCCATTTTCAAAAGACGTCCAAGGGCAAGGGTAAATCAAAGGGTTCCAGCAAAGGACCTCGTGTCCCGTACCAGATCATCCAGGCAGGAGGTGTTGGTAAAACACCAGATGGTTCAAACATATGTTTCAAGTACAACATCGAAGGTTGTGACGAAGCAGCAGATGGATCATCGTGCAGACGTGGAAAACACTGTTGCGCAAAGTGCTTTGCAAGTCACAGCTTAAAAGACCATTCATGACTCACGAGTCGCACAAAGTCCGAAAGTTCGCATCCGGCCGAAAAGCATCCAACAATTTTGCATCCGCCAAAAGAGCAGCAGCCAGATCGCAAGGTTGAATTCTGTGATAAGCCTGCACCAGTTTTGCCTGTCAAGGTGCAGCAACATAATTTGGCTGGTCACGAAGATGACCCGTGCAACATACCATCGGAACAATTTTCCAAGCTTGGTTGCGCCAATTCTCCAAAATCGACTTTTCCGAGAACTTCAACAGAAGAGTTTTGTACAGGAACAAGTCTTTCCAAAGATGTTGCCAATAACACCAAAAACAAAAATAAAAATGTTTTTCGCGATGGACCAGTGGTCATCGAATTATTTGCAGGCTCTGGTAGGCTTACTGCGGCTTTAAAATCCTGCGGTGTGCATTCGGCCTTTGGGGTTGACCATAAGAAGTTAAGCTCAATTGCCCCAATCATGTTAGCAGATTTAACTACAAGGGCAGGACAAGCACTATTTATGACTTGGATGGATGCCCCAAACCTTGCAGGAATCTTCGCAGCACCTCCGTGCGGAACTTGCAGCCTTGCACGAAACATCAAAATCCGTGGCCCGAAAGGAAATATAATTTCTGGGCCAGTGCCACTTCGATCCCCTAAATTTCCTGAGGGTTTTCCCAATTTGGCAAATACCAATCTTAAAAGGGTTTTGGCTGCCAATAAACTCTATGATTTTCTTTCGAAGGTGGTTCTCAAAGCAAATGACAGGAATTTAATTTTTGTGATCGAAAACCCCCGATCATCTTTGTTCTGGTTGACAAAATTTTTCCAAAGGATTAAACATCTATTCACTTTTGTCGCACACCAAGCCTGTGCATACGGCAGTGAACGACCTAAGTGGACCGCCTTGGCGGTTAACAGACCCGAGTTTCTTCAAATCAAATTAACTTGACCTGTCCCGGTGTTAGTGCTCACCACCACCATAAACCATGGGGTTTAGTCTCACCAGATAGGTTTGCGACCGCTGAAGAAACAGCATATCCTCCTAAGCTGGCTCAGGCGATTGCCAATGCCTTCACCCAAGCTTTGGCTGCCGATGGGTGGAACCCTCCAACAGCCTCTTGGGAAGAATTGCAAACCAACCCAAATTTTGCAGCCATGAGAGCCGTTGCCGGGCGGCAACCAAAGTCCTCAAAAACCCCACCACTTGTCAGTGAATATAAACATACTATAAGTATTGTGGGACCAGCTCAACTCATCCAAGATCCCCCATGCGCTTGCATGGCCCGTATCAAGCAGCCTTGGAATGTCCCCCAAGGTTTTGGAAACTCCATTCCGGTAATTCCAGCAGAATCCCAATTGCTTCGAATTAGTCAGACTCGGGTAAAAGGGGATGAAAGCCTTGCTGATGGTTCTTCAAATAAACCCTTAGCCAAGTTAATATGGGGCATTCCATGGGACTGTGAAAGCTTCGTTTCTCAAGCAGTGGCCAAAGGTCACCCAAGAGCTTTTGGCTCGTTGCTGCCAGAAGTCCTACGGGTTGCAGTGGAGAAAAACCGAACCTTGTCCAGCAAAGATCTTGCAGAATTGCGTGCAAACTGGTTCAAGAAGTGGGTCCCTAGAGCAAAAGCCCTTGCCGCTCAAGAAGCAGAATTTAAAAGCAGTTTAGCCCCCCACCTTCAACATATTTTAAAGCCCAAGAGACTGTTGCTCTTAAAAGAAATTGTTGAATGCGAGGGGTACCCTGACCCAGGGGTATTTGAAGAATTGGCGTTTGGCACAGAGCTTACGGGCAGTGTGCCTTTAACTGGTGTCTTTGACCCTTCCTTCAAGCCTGCGGTTTTGACGGAGTGTGAACTCTGTGAACGTTCCAGCGAATCCAACAAGGCCATTTATCATTCAGTCCGCTCCTCTGGCGATTCTGAGGTTGACACCGTAGTGTTCCAGAAGACATTGGAAGAAAGAGATGCAGGGTGGTTAAGGGGTCCAATTCCTTTCCGTGAGTTAGGTCGAGGGTGTGTCCTTAGCAGACGTTTCGGTTTGAAGCAGCCCAACAAGGTGCGTTTGATTGATGACTTCAGCAAGTCCAATATAAATGCCACGGTGCAGACACCTGAAGCTCCTCGTCCTCACTCTACAGATGTCATTGCTTCGTTGGCGCTTGCTCTTTTACTGGGTGCTGGTGGTCGAAAAGTTCTCGGAAAAACATTTGATTTAAAGTCAGCGTACCGACAGCTTGGGATCCATCCAAATTCCTTGAATTGCTCCTACATCGCATGTTTCGATCCCGTATCTTTCAGATGCTGGCTGTGCCGTTTGGTGGGTCGAGATCTGTTTATTCATTTCTTCGCATTGTGCGTTTTGTTTGGTGGATTGCTTGCAAGTGCCTTGCGGTAATGTGGACGAATTTTTATGACGATTTTGTCACGTTTAGCTGGGATGAAGATGCTGAACGCACAGGTGCCTCGATCGAGTTGCTCTTTGATTTATTAGGCTGGGACTTTGCACGTGACGGCGAGAAAGCGCTAGCTTTTGATCAGTTCTTCGGAGCACTGGGCATTCATGTTGGCTTGTCCAACTTCGACAGAGGTTTTGTTGAATTTTCAAACACTGAAAAACGCAAGCTGGAGCTCAAAGAATTGATTTCTTCAATCCTGGAAGCAGGGTTTTTATCTTTACCTGATTCTTTGAAACTTCGCGGTCGATTGCAATTCGCGGAGGGCCAGTTGTTTGGTCGAATTGGGAAGTTGTGTTTGAAGGAAATCACAAGCCATGCCTTCTCATCAGGAGGTGGCAAACTGGGCTCCCGTTTGAAACAGCTGCTCACGCTCTTCATGACACAATCACTTGATGGACCGCCCAAAAGAATTTGTGGCATGTCTGCAAGCTGCTCTTTCATTTTTACCGATGCTTGTTATGAACCCGGTAGGGTAGACTGGCAGTGCGGCTTGGGTGGCATAATTTATAACTCGCATGGAGCCGCAGTCCAAGCCTTTTCCTGTGCCCTCTCTCCTGATCAGATTGCCTCCTTGGGGGGTTTTGTCAAGAAAACAATTATCTTTGAGGCTGAGCTTCTTGCATGGATCGTGTCATTTGTTTTGTGGAAAAACTTGATTGGAAATTCACCTGTGGTGTTTTATGTCGATAACAACTCGGCGCGTGACGTTGCCATTTCAGCAAACAGTCGATCCAAAACAATCGCATCCCTAGTTGAGCAGCTCCTGCGTGTGGAGGATTTAGCATCTTGCTTTTGCTGGTTTGCTCGAGTGCCTTCCCCTTCGAACCCGGCCGACGACCCGTCAAGGGGTAAAACCGAAAAATTGTTGCATCTAGGAATTCCCTTTGTTGACGTCAACGACATCGTTGCCGATTGTCTCAGGAAGCTTGCTGAATTTCTAATCGGATAATGTGGGGGTACCAGCCTGTAATAAGCTTAACCCTGTTTTAGTCCTTCCCAAAGAATAGGCCCAATAAGTTTGGTGCTTAATGGACACATGTGATCGGCCGCACAGGATCACCGTCCTTTCTCCAGTTGCATGAGCTTTCAGAAGCTTAAGAAAATGCATTCCGAGGGTGCACATGTCCAGGTGTGCAACCAGCTTGGGTTCCGAAAATCCCAACACGGATCAACCGCCGTCAATTCCTGCGTGGACAAAAAGGAATAATATAAAGTGCGGAGTGTGGCTCACGTTTTGCACCTTTTTGGTTTCGTAATAATTATGAAATAAGAAACCGCTGCCCCTTTTGGCCCAAGAAATAAATAGGCTGTCACTCGTGATAGTTTATTATTTCTTGGCGCCAAAACCAAAAAGGAAATTTTCTCTAAGCCAAAAATTTCCGTGCAGCGGTTCTTTCTTTTGCCTTCCTGGCTTTCCTTACACTTATGGTGTTCTGGCAAGTGCCTTTTCTCTCTGTGCATTCAAGTGGCCTCACCTTGTTGTCTTGTGGAAGGGTTCAAATCCCAAACAACAACCTTTCGCTTTCAAGTTGTGCAACGCTTGTTTCTGTGAAGTTTCCAATTGTTCAACCTTGCATTTCATCTTGTGAAATTTACTTGGTTTAGCATTCGGTGATATATCTTCACCTGTGTTGCTTTTTACATCTCCAGTGGTGGGTTGGAGGGTCGCCATTTTAGTTTTGTGGCTTCTCGTCCCACCCACAACCACCCTGAGAAGCCACTGGGGGTACCAGCCTGTAATAAGCTTAACCCTGTTTTAGTCCTTCCCAAAGAATAGGCCCAATAAGTTTGGTGCTTAATGGCCACATGTGATCGGTCGCACAGGATCACCGTCCTTTCTCCAGTTGCATGAGCTTTCAGAAGCTTAAGAAAATGCATTCCGAGGGTGCACATGTCCAGGTGTGCAACCAGCTTGGGTTCCGAAAATCCCAACACGGATCAACCGCCATCAATTCCTGCGTGGACAAAAAGGAATAATATAAAGTGCGGAGTGTGGCTCACGTTTTGCACCTTTTTGGTTTTGTAATAATTATGAAATAAGAAACCGCTGCCCCTTTTGGTCCAAGAAATAAAGCCCTGTAGTTGTACCCCAGGTTCAGGTGCCAGTGCAAGAGGTCGATGATGATGACGTGGTACCAACACCTGAGTCCGCTCGGCGACAGCCGGAAACGCAGGTTGAGTATACTAGAAGGTTTAAAAGGAAAGCTGAGACCGACCGAGAACAGTTGGAAAGAGAGATCCGTGAAGATTCTGAGGAACTGCTTCAAACAAACATGGATTTTGACTGGTTTTGGGTTGGTAGTGGTGAGCCTGTGTTGGTTGTTGCGAGTTTGGGTACACTTGAAGGTCCAGCGTCTTTTGCTCCGGCAACATCTCCGGAAATGTTTTCTGGTTCTCTTGATTCTGTTTGTTTCAATCGAAGCAATGAGCATGATTTTGTGAAGATGAGTCTTGGAGGTCAGGATGTCTTGTTTTGGAAACCGGACAGTATCATAGATGACCAGAGTTTGCAAGAGCTTGATTTGGAACAAGGTTTCAAAGGTATGCAAGAAGAGGTTAGGAACTTGGAACACTGCAAGACTGGCCGCATCATCACCCAGTCAGAACTGGACGATATGAAGAAGGCTGTTCCGAACCTTCGTTTGATCCAGTCGAGGTGGGTTGCAGCTTACAAAAGCAGTGAGAGGGTTCGAACCAGGATTGTTGCAAAGGACTTCAGTCGTGGCTCCTCAGCTAGATCTTTGGGATTTAGTAGTCCTACCCCTTCAATTGAAAGTGTTCATTTGGTGCTTGCAATGGCATCGACACGGAAGATGCTTTTGCGTGCATTGGACGTGAGTCATGCCTTCATGCATAGCCCATTGGGAACTGGTGTACATGTTGTCTTGAAATGCCGTTGTCGATTAGTTTTCCATCAGGTGAAGCGACCTACTATTTGCTTGAAAAGGCATTGAATGGGTTACGTGATGCTTCACTAGCATGGTTGCAGCTTTTGACATTTACGGTTGAACATGTAGGCCTTTGGTCTGATTCGTTGGAACCATGTGTGTATGGTGGACAGATTGTGAAGGATGGTCATGAACTTGGATTTTGCTTGTGTGTAGTGTACGTTGATGACATCTTGTTGTTGTCGACCACTAAGGAAGCCGAGGAACATGTGGTTGCAACTTTGACGTCTGTAGTGCCTGTGAAGACAACTGGAGAGATCGGAGAAGAGGGAGGATCCCTGACCTTTATTGGTCGTGTCATTAAAAGAGAAAGAGATTCCTCTGAGATCACTCTGGGTGTCGATCCACATTGTCTTGACTCTACGTTTCTGGATTATGGCGTTACCCGTGGGTCTGAGAATGTGCCTGACATTTCGGGGGACATCTTGAGAAGACACTCACGGATAGCAACTTTCAGAAACCGTTGTCAGATGAAGCATACTCACGCTTCAGAAAGGCGTTGGGAAAATTGCTTTGGTTGTCACAGGTGCGTCATGACTTGAAAACATGAATGTCTGTTCTTGGAACGCAGCAAGCGAAACCTATGCACGGAATTGAACAAGCATTGAAAGCAGTCTTGAGATTCTTGTATGTTGACATGCATGCATGCTTGTGTCTACCGAGCAGAGATGAGACCATCATGAGTCAAGTTGACGATACTCAACTGAGATCAGTCCATCTCCACTCTTTCAGCGACGCGTCACATGCGCCGTATCGCTTCAACAACCGCAAAGGTGTTAGCGGTGGAGCTGTTTTCTTTGAGAGATCTTTGGTGAGGTCTCTGAGCCGACAACAACAAGCTTTGAGCTTGAGTTCATGTGAGGCAGAGCTCTATGGTTTGCAATCAGTGTGTCAAGAAAGTGTTGCGTTTGGAAGATTGGTTCACCGTCTTCTTTTTGGACTTCATGAGATCGATGAGCCAGAAGAAGTTGTGATTTGGCTGGAGAGCGATTCAAGCTCCGCATTGCAACTTGTGAGATCCATGGACGTGCCACGACGTTCGCGGCACATTGAAATAAGATTGCATTGGTTACGAGAGCAGGTGAGAGAGGGTTTGTTGAAATTGAGACACAGAAGTGGTGTTGAAAATCCAGCAGATCTTTTCACTAAATGCTTGAGTGCTAAAGCTTTCTATAAACACCGATATGCTCTTTGGATTGTTGTTCCAGATGGTTTGACAGCTGAGTTAGCAGAACTTCGTGAGCTGTGTGTGTTGCAGCAGGTGTTGACTCAGGGTTCTTCAATTGCGATTGTGGAACTGTGTTGTTCGGAACACTCGAACTTGAGAAAGGTCTGTGAAGTTTCGAAGGTCCCATACATTGGCGTAGTGGCTAAGGTGCAGCGTTCTGGAACGTTGAGTCGTGTAGTTGTTTGCATCCGACAGTGGAAGAACTCTTCATGTCCGCCTTGGGTGCATATTCATGCATCGACTCCTTGTGGAAGTGGAAGTCCGCTTCGTAATTTCAATCCGGACTCAGTCACTGAAAAGGACCAGGAATGGGATGAGATCATCAATGCGATTGGTGGTTACTTCAAACATGCAGACTCATGTTCGTTTGAGCTTCCAGAACGAAATGCCATTTGGTCCCGACCTGAGACAGTGAATCTTTTGGAGAGTTTTGACATGAGGCATGAGGCTTTGGTGAGGTTGTGCAAGACTGGATGTCAGAACAAGGATGGTATTCCAATTGGAAAGACATTGAAGTTTGTTTCCAATTCAGCTTGGTTTGCACTAAATCTCCACTCCAAACTTTCGACATGTACATGCCAGATTCATGCCGAACTTAATCAAATCAACTATACTGAAACAGCGTTTTACAACCAAAAGTTGGCAAGATGCATTTTGATTGCAGTCAAACACGCAGCGAAGAAGTGAATTTTCGTTTGAAAGGGGGACCCTGTGAGAGAAAGACAGAAGTTGACGTCACGTTTCATTTTCCTGTTTTGCATGT